TTTACGATGCTGCACGACAAACAACATGATAAGTAGTGTTGCGCAAAAATAAAAAGGCGGAATGGTTTTCAAAGTGTACTCAAGGGGTTTTCAATTTATTAGACAACAAAAGTACCTACCTAGTTGTCACTATCTGTTCACACTTTTGTTATCGTTCCTCCTTAGTGACATACCCAACAAATATTACATTATGACGAAAATAGAGAAGTACATTTTAATGCACAATGATAACTTGTGCATAAGAGCATTATTTTTGTCCCAAACTAATGGAACTATCATATGTATTCAATTTAAATGATGTAGAAACATATATAATAGGCATTTTCAAAATCTCCATTTCTATAAGTAGTTGAGTTGGTGATGATGGTGTGCCTGTCATCTATCAATTTCGACCATTCGATCTGCATCTAACGCATATGATGCGATTTCTGGCACTTTTGCAAAAAGACACCCGATAATCTCTCCATATTCATTTAGAAAACCCCTCCGCATCTCACTTCCAGACCCATCTAGACCTATCCCGCCGCCACCTTCCTTCAGTCGAACTTGGATCTGGAGAGGTAGCTGTGGCCGGCGCCGTCCGCACCTGATGCCTCGGATGCCTCCTCTTAGTCCGTCAGTCACTGCAGTCCTCCAGCCACCACTACCACGACCTCCCCTCCTCCGCCCCATTTCCCATCTCCACCGCCACCAACAACTGCAATATGCTGCAAATGCAGCTCGTTCCTCAACAACTCTCATATCTCCTCCCACTAGTAGAAAATGGGACATCAGTCCCGGTTCTTAAGGGCCTTTAGTCTCGGTTGGGCAATCGGGACTAAAGAATCGAGACTAAAGCCCCCCCCCCCTTTAGTCCTGGTTGTGTTACAAACCGGGACTAAAGGGGCTCCACGTGGCTGCTATGGAGTGCTCAGGCAGGAGGACCTTTAGTCCCGGTTGGTAACACCGACCAAGACTAAAGGCCGCCACATGTCAGGCGCTGCCAAGCGCTAGGGTTTAGGGTTTTGAAGGGGCCGTGTTTCATTTTGTGTTTCCCTTTTCTTTTGTGTTTACCATTCAATTCTTTTTCATTTAGGGTTTTCATTATTATTTTATGTTTTCCATTCAACTCGACGCTACTACATATAGCAATGAAGAAATCATTAGACAACATCGTCATGAACTAGCTATACCCGCGCGGCGGCACGCCGCACCCCATCAATACGGTACGTGTGTGTGTATGCTACTTTTGACTCATGGGATGATAGAAAATAAGGCCGCGATACGGTATGTGTTTGTATATGCTACTTTTGACTCATGAGATGGAAAATAAGGGCTTCATGTGCATAAGAGAATCTCCACTCGCGCCCCAACAGGCCCCGGGGCCCTTTTTTATCGCCCGCGCCAAAAAATGGCACAGTTGCGCCTCCAGAAGCCCACTTTCGCCGGTTAGGGCCGATTTTGGCGCCGGCGGACCCAGGACGAACCTGGCGCACTGGGGGGGGGGGGCGCTCACGGGTGCCGGGGGAACATTTTTGGCGTGAAAGCCTGGTGGGGCTGCCGAGTCAGCGACCAGCGGTGTTCGTCGTCCTCATCGCCTCGGTTTCCCGTGGGGAATCAATGCAAGGCTGCCTGCCGGTCAGCCATCCATTGATTCCTCATGGGCGGTGTAGTGAAGGCGCGCCGACGCGCGGCCCGCCCCGCCCACCACACGTACACACGCATGCCGCCCGCCCGCCGCCCGCCAGCGGCTATAAAAGCCACCCACTTCCTCGTGGGTGGTTGCGCACTCTCCTGTCACCCTCGTCGAAGACCTCTCGCCCTCTCACCGCTGACGACCTTCACTCATCTTCCTTCTCTCCCACCCCGACGAGCAAATGGCAAAGCGCTATCCCAGCGACGGAGCGGCCGCCGTACCCTGCGCGACCACGAGGCCCGCCTCCTCTATGAGGCGGATTACCCGGCCCACCGGACATGCGGGTGCCGGGTAACTGGAGGCTCAGCATCGGCAGCATCCCGGTGCCGCCACTGCCCGTAGGCGCTGATCGGCGTGCCGAGATAGCATGCATCCGGTCCTCGCTGCTGGAGAGTGCGTGGAATGAGCCGCGGTACGCCCTCGATAGCCACGCCCTCTGGACAATGTACTTCGAGCGACGACCAGCTCTCTGCCGCGAACGGCGTCGAGCCCCGCGGGCGCTACAACGCCGAGGGGAGGCGCCTATGGTGGGGCGTCGACGGGCACACCCTCGAGGCCGTCCTCGAGCCCATTGATGCCGGCAACGAGCTGCGTCTGGAGCACCCTGCACTGCCCTCCTTCTCTTGCTGCCATGGCAGCTCCTGGACGCTGAGGCGGATGGAGATGGCCTCGTCGTAGTCGGGCTCCCACTCCTCTGGAACACCGACGTTCCTCCCCGTCAAGGCGGAGCCGCGTGAGACGCCGCTCGGCGGTGCACCCGTGGCGGTGCCCTCATCATCAACGAGGGCGGCCATTCTACTCTCTCTTCCCGCCTCGTCAGGCGCAAGATGGAGCCGGGGCTCGTCCCTATGAAGAAGGAGTTGTGTCTCATCGTCGTCAAGAAGGAGCACGAGGCCATGGCATGTGTGCTTAAAATGGTTCACTTTGACGTGAACATTCGTGCTATTTCACATTTTAGATGCGAGCATCCTCCATGGACAACCCTCAGTCGGACAGTGCAATATATAACGTACTTGATCACTCTTGTCAACATTGAAAGTACGTTCTACCTTGATGCAATATGTCACAAGTGCATTTCTACACTCACTCAGAGATGCAAAAATGATACCTTCTTCCATATGAGGGTTCAAAGGGTCTCATTGAACAGTTGCAAGGTCTTCGTCCTCACCCACCACGTCATCATCCACACGGACATCATTGTCAGCCTCATCTTGGTTTTTAGCCCGAGGTGCCCGTCGTAAATTCTGAATAACATCAGAATATAGAGCTTCTCTTCATCAACCCTAGAACTGTAGGCATCAGGCTCCACTTCAAGGGGGGCTCTACTGCCGATGCCCACACTTGTCGAGCCACCATGTCGCCGTGCACTAACTGAACTGTTCTGGCTAGAGCTGCCATTACGATGACTTGGTTCTTCCCAAGAAGGTGCACCCACCATCCTAGCTCCAAATGCCTGCTCAATCACATCAATTTGCAGCCTCACATGAAAATTATCTTTCTCCTTATGCCTAGCAAACATGGTAGCCCTCTCTTCATCATTACTAATTGTCACCCATTTATTTTTCCCATCGTAGTATTTGTATCCACTTCATCAAGCAAATCCCAAGGATATTGGCTGCAAATTACCTCCCCGAATTGTCTGAAACTCCAATTACAAGACATTGGCAACAGATAATCGAAACCTCCATGGAATTTCTTCTTATTCTTTGCATTCAGCATGTACCGGTCCCTTCTAATGTGCACCAAGAAAGCAAATCGCAACTCCATCCTAACCGATGAAAAACAGAGACGCAATCAACACACCAATAGCTAAACTAACCGGGCAAACCAACTCGAATCGACTGTTGAAATCCACAACTAAGCTCAATCTAAATAGGAGGGGTGACTTACCCCTCGGGAACCCAGTCGTGGATGCGGCAGATCTCCGGCCCGATGCCTGCCTCGCCAAATACTCCGGGGTCGCTGCGGCTCGCCATTTCGCCCTGGGGTTCACCCTCGTACTTCCTATGTGTGCACCAGCCCCAGTCGGATGCACGGAAGGAGGCGACACCATGGGTCGAGCAGGTGGCGGGCGCCCCACCCATGGCATCGCAGGAAGGTGGCGGGCGGAGCAGGTAGCGGTGGAGCAGGACGGCCGCGGCCGCGGTAGCGCAGCTGGTGGTGGCGCAGGTGGTGGCGGCGGCGCAGGTGGTGGTGGCGACGTAGGTGGCGGCGGCGACGCAGGACGACTGGGCGAGGGACGGGACAGAGTGGCGTCGTGTGGCCTGGTTAGAATCCTAGGATTGATTTGGGGACGTTGTTGCGGGTCCCACATGTAAGTTCCAGACCCACGTCCACGCGGTCCCACGTGTAAAGCTCCGGACCCACTACCACTAACGCCAATAGACGGAATGGACTCAAAACTGCCTGTTTGGCCTCGTCATAGTAGTTGCACACAGTCTAGGGGCAAAACTGAGCACGATTCACAACTAAGGGCAAAACTGAGCACATGGACACCACTGAGGGCAAAAAGATAATTAACCCTAAATAAAATGGCTATGTGCATCGCATTATGTAGAGCCAGGGGTAACCCTCATTTTCGGGACAAAAGTTAGAATGAAAAGAATTTGCAGCTGCCACTTGAGTAGCAGTAGCACGGTTACTGTGTTGGCGATTTGGTTGATGTAGAATAAAGAAGCAACTTTTCCCTCTTAATACGTATGCCAGGTGAAGTTAAACATTGCTTGCATGGTTTAGTGAAATGTCAGCACTTGACGTGTTTGTTTCGTTGGCTTCTAACGCAACATCATTTACAGAGGTAAAAAATAACATCAAATCATGTTTGGTTTGGCTATGCCGAATTAGTTGACACGCTATGATATCCCATCTCAAGTAATCTGACTATGCCCAACATCGTGTGCAATTGGAAACCGCTTTGTCGAGGGCACATTCCTTTTCCCACGAATTCTCACCCCATGGGCTGTGGTCTTGTCCGCCTAAAGTGCATCCACCTCCGTGATCCACTCGACTACAATCGCACCCCTGACTGGTAGCTCTCTAGGCTATGATCATGAATGTCATATCTACAATGTGCAATTCAGTTCTGAGTCTGAATAAGGCTGATTTGAAGTATGGATACCGGAGATAATTGAGAAAAGATTCATAAACTGAGGGGAACTTACGTAGAAAATAATTGAAGTAGGCACTTCATATGGTGAGAACATTACTCACTTAAGAATAGAAAGCATGTTAAAATATCTCATAGAAATCTGATCATGCAAGAAGAGAATTCATGGTGTAGCTCCAAGACCTGTATCCATTGGTGACCCTCTACTATAATTATGCTTTATCTCAAAGTAGCGTTATTGTGGCTCACATCAATGGATTGGTTTGTGGTAGTGTTGTAACCTATGTTTGGGTTCATTCCACCATTGCTACTATCGGTGTAGAATCCACTGTCACCTCGTTCGAAGCCTTCCTCGAGGTCGAGGCACTCCTGTAGCTGCATCACGACATCAGTCATGGAGGGCCGTTGCAGGGGCGATTGCGCAGTGCACTTGAGTGCAATCTCCGTAGTCTTCCAAACGGCATTGATGTCATGATCACCTTGCATACGTGTATCCACCACACCCTCAATGTCGCCCCATGCAAGCCGCTGCCGTGCCCAGTTGATGAGGGGGATGGACTCGGGATTGCGTAGGATGGCTGGCTTCCCAGTGACGAGCTCTAGCAGCACAACACCAAAGCTGTACACGTCACTCTTGGTCGACGGCTGCATTGTTCTTTGGTACCTGTAGGCATGTGCGTTCACTCAGAAAAACACTTCATGCATAGAGGTTATTTTGGTGGAGCGCGGAAGAGGTCGACGTACTCTGGAGCTGCATATCCAAGTGTGCCTGCAAATGTGTTAGTTGATACGTGGGTGTCATCCTCGCAGTTGAAAGCCTTGGACAAGCCAAAATCGGCAATCTTGGCCTCCAGCCTTGCGTTTAACAAGATGTTGGTGGTTTTCACATCCCTGTGAATTATAGGTGGGCTACATCCCTTGTGAAGGTACTCCAGTCCTGCACATCACCAGTCTAGCCAATGCTCAAGATTCTTCAAGCACAACGTGTTCAACAGTGGGTCACTGCATTTTCATTGCTGTACCTTGTGCCGTTTCAAGTGCTAATCGAAGTCTTCGTCTCCAGGGTAAGCATCGCATGTTGCCATCTTCTCCTTCAAGTATATATAGACATTGTAAATTTCAGCCCAGTTGGTACTTAAAGGGTCATATATAAATATACTATGCTTATGGCATCGACTCCTGCATCTCTAACTAGGAGATAAAACCTTGTATTTTGAGGTTGTCGGTATTCGGCTTAAATGAAAATTCAGGTGGTCAGTTTGCCCTTCAAATTGCAGACTGATGAAATTTTAAAGCTATATTGTCAAATTCACAACATACATACCTGCAATATGCTCTTTTAGGGATCCTTGAGGCATGTACTCATAGACAAGTGCCATGTGCCCCCCATTGTTGCAGTAACCAATCATGGACACAAGATTCTTGTGATGAATAAGGGCTAAAACATGAGCCTGGACAAGAGATCACGAGTTAGTGAAATTTCTTGGTACGAATTTCTGTCTACCAACAAGAACTACCTCTGCAAGGAACTCTTTGATGCCCTGATTTGAAGAATGAGACCTTAACTTTACTGCCACCTCAGTACCCTTCTCCAGGGAGCCGTGAAAGACGTACCCAAACCCTCCTCTTCCAAGCGGTCGTTGGAAGTTGTTCGTAATCACCTCCAGTTCCATGTATGTGAACTGACGGTTCTCAAGTGGAAGTGAAATAATCCAGTCGCCGTCATTCGTCACCTTCACAGGGTTTCTGATTGATCCTATGTGGGCAACACATGCCATCACAAACATCAATGA